TTTTATATTTAAAATGATATGTTTATCTTGTATTTGATTATGTTTATCTGCAGTTAGTTACACGAATTCAAATATGGAGCTTTAATAAGTTGTACTTACACACAATCTACTTGCAAATCTTGAGTTTTAAGTAATATGCATTAATAAACAGTATTTTACGCATAAAAATGATTTTTAAGAATTTTGTCAAATGCTTTATAATATAGTATAGATATAAGCAACAACCGAAACCTGACAAATTCCCACACGAGATGCCCAATGAAATGGAAGTAACAAACGAGAAACGAACCAACTAACATAAAAAAAACAAGCAGCCGGGTTACATCACCATAACACCTAAGATCCAAATAAAGCTTTGTCACGATGGGACGACCAACGAAATGAGGCAAGATGGATATCGATCAACAAGTCTTCACCGACTCGTGAACTACCGTACAAGAGTTTATTTCGAGAGCTCCAAATCGAGTAAAGGGAGATCCAAGCAACGATCCTCCATAACTTACTCCTAGAGGATGAAGCAAGAAAGAACTCAGCTAAAGTGAAAATGTTCGAAACTGATTCAATAGCCCGAGGGGCGATGCCCCACCACTTCAAAATTACTGCCCCACAACACCGAGATCATAGAGCAAACAACGAAAAAATGGTCGATCGGTTCGACGACACAATCACACCCAGGGTAAATGACCAAGTGAAACTTGATCGTAAAATGGGTAAATTAATATTAAATATCTACATAATATTTGTAAATTTCTTATTCATAGACATAGTATATATTTATGGTCATGTTTTAATTATTCTTTAATATGTTTTTATTGAGGTGATGCTGGTATAGCAAGGAAAAAGGGTGTTCAAAAGCCGATTAACCGGACTAACCCGGCCAACCCAGTTTGAAAAAATCCAAAAGAAACTCAACCTGAGGTAACATAAACATATAGTTGATACAAAATTAGCTCAAACCGTATCTATTAGGTTGGAATTGGGTTAGAATAATTTGAACCCAACCTAATCCGATGAACCCGATACCTTCCTATACTACGGATTTAATATGATTGTTAAGTATTTGATTAATATATGAACATTAGACATTAAACCAACCCATAATTAGGTATATTCAAAATTATATTACAATTTCAACTATAATTTTACTTTCTTATTTGCATGAACTTTCAATTTTTTTTAGTTTGTCGGCCTTTTTCTATGTGTTATCATTTTGATTTCATTTCGTTTAAACAAAACACTTAGTTAGATTGTAAAATGATTTGTCAAAGTTTCAACCTGATCAACCCGACCAAAGCAACCCAACCCGCACGGTTTGGGTTCGATTGGGTTGTAGTTTTGCTTGGGTTGAGTTCAATTGAGATTTTTCAAACTGCAAATACAGATTGAGTTGTTCAAATGCCTTCAACTCAGCCAACCCAACCCATTTACAACCTTAACAGAAAAACAAATGCTCTTATGCTACACATTTCAAAACTTGTTGTGGTTACTTACTTATCCACTTATATAATACATGTTTTAAAACATCATTTCAACGTTTATCGTACAAAAAGATATATGCAATCAAACATCAACACAAGCATACCATCAACAGTGTTAAAATTAGTTTGATCCAACATTATTATACTTGTAGCATCAATTGCAGATATAGAGTTTCACTCAATCCCATATCCTTTCTCCTGAAGTTCTTGAACAACTTCATTCTTCATCCTCAACCACAGCTTAAGTGCTTCCTGATCAAACTTCTCTTTCTGCAACTGCTTCTGATAATTTGCAGGACCTGAGTCCATTTCTATAGTCCCTTTGGCGCTAACCATGGTCCCGATCATCCCACCTTTTGCGATGAACTCAGTCATGGCCTCTTCGTCACCTGGGTATGGATAATTGATTCGCTGATAGAGGTGAGCCAGTTCTTTCTCTTCTTTGGGTACTGGTTTCAGTGTCCACCAACCAAGTGGGGATGTTTCATTGAACAACCACATGGCACCAAAAACTGTGTATGTGCATACAAGTGCTTTTCCTATTTGCTTCCAGAAGTAATAGTCCTCCTTTCCCAGCCCTATTTTCTTCAGGTACTTGTCAGCATTGAAAGATTTAGCCACTGGAAAGAGGAGAGCAGGTTGGATTACTAAAACCAAACCAAACCAAACGAACCCAATCTGGGGGAGCGGGTGGGTTACTAAAGCATCGATTACAAGACTGACCCACTGTTTGCAGCGGGAATTAAGTTCCAAGTTCAGTATCTCGAACCAACTACGTTAGCCACATAACAGTTCAATTAAAGAGTAGAAGAGATGTTGAGCATTGAAAGTAATTTAAGTTGAAACTACATGAAGACTAAAGTTGAGGTCCAATAGTGGAATAAATGATAGCAAAGTACAAAGTCTCAAGGGTGGGGGTTCAAAAGGCACTTTGGCTCTTTATTTGGTAACCATGGTATGCAAGCCAACTTTTGTGCACCTCAATTAATCCTACGGGATCCTAAATATAACAACCAGGAAAATCCCCGGTAGCCCTTTGTGTCATAATATTTAGCACCTTGCATCTGAGCATGAGCATAAGAGGAGACACCTCCAAATCAAACCCTCATGCTTAGCTTTTGCTCCATAACTCCATGGCACAAGCCATTTTGGGCTGCTGTGCCAATCTACACGGAGAGGTGTCACCTTCATAACTACGGGCTCATTTGCAGTTTTCTAGCCATCCTTTCTAATCAACTAGTCTTTAAACGGCTCTCTATTTATAACGCCTGTTCCGAGCGTGCGATAGGGTACACACTCACTCTGTTAATATCGACTCTCAAATCCATAATCACCACTTCTCAAGGCTTGGTTAGATGTTGAACCCTTGAATATACTTGAGCTATATCCTGGTAAGATTTTCTGTCGATGGGAACTAGTTTTTCTTAACAGATGACCTTAAAAAGATATATCTTTTATCACATTTCTAAGTCTTATCAGTGTTCTACAACATACTACGATATTATTTCATATTTATAAACCAATCATCTGTCAGATTTCTTAACCGGGAAAGCTTTAAGATTGTGCTACATCTTACAACAATGTTCTAATGTCAAAATAGACAATTTCACTGATGAACTGTTTGAAATACAGTAATCCATTCAAACAGAAGAGATTGAAAGATTTTGGGTCTGGCATTTTATCAAACAGTTAGAGGGCGTGCGTTCACGAAAAAGGAATCGTCCTAAAGACTACAACCCAGGTTCGGAATCCCATTTCATATTAGGCACCAACAACACAACTCACAAATAAAACACTCACAATAAGAAACGAATCCTCAATTCAACCTTCCGGAAGAATGAATCTGAAAATTACCATTGTCGTAAGGGTTCACAAATTACCTGTTTCAGCAGCCCTATAACTTTTGCGAACCATCAAGAAGACAGAGAACCGAGATTGCAACCTGTTTTAATTCATGAAAACTCTCAGTAGAAGAATCCACCGAAAACCTTTCTCGATCTTTTGTAGAAAACACCTAAACATGTTTTGTAGTTTCGACTCCTTTGAATCTTTTATGATCTCATATTTCACATTAACCCCCTCAAGTTCTCTACAAGAGTAATTACAATACTGGTCCCTGTGCTTTACACACACCCATGAACCCCGCCCCTAAGCTTCAACCGTAGGGAAGGGAAAAAAAACCAAAACCGATGGTGAAAATCGAAAATTGAAACTTTCGGATCGGGTTCGAGGATATCTTATCGGGGATGGGGCTGGGATCGGGGACAAATCCGGAGATTTTAATGGGGGCGGGGACGGTAATCACTGGCCCGACCCGATATGTATATAGAGTTTGTTTCAAATACAACCCGTCGCATTTGTACAACCAATATAACCCAATGAATTGAGATATTTATGGAAACGATGAGTGTTCATTTATTATAATTTGAATATTTATGGAAGATGAATATGTTTCATTAATTATGATTAATACTTTATATTATGAAACAATCAAAACTTCTATGAAATCACATATTAATCAAATGAAATGAATGATTGAGATTGAGTTGTATTGGTTGCACAAATGTCAAGAGTTGTATAATAACCAMCCCCTCTCTCTCTCTCTATCTCTCTCTCTCTCTCTCTCTCTCTCTCTCTCTCTCTCTCTATATATATATATATATATATAATACCATTAAAAAAATAGTAACATTAAAATTTAAAAGGCTTTTGTTCATAAAGCACACATATACATACACAAAACACCCACAAACACACACATGCAAACACATACAAAAAGAATAAGTTGTACGTACACAGAAAAACCCGGATGTTGTACAAACTAGTTTCGTAGGCCGACCAGGGCCGGCCTTGGCCACGTGGAGCACGTCCGGTCGCACAGAGCATCAAAGTCTAAAGGGGCATCAAATTGTCATTTATTATTAGTTTTGGGTTTAATAATTTAAGAATTGGACAACTGAGTTTTTAACTATAAAAACATGCCCTAATTTTAGTAGTGATGAATACTGAATGTACATCGTGAACCGGTTAACGCCATCATTCCAACAACTCAATCTAATTCAATTGTTCTTCAAAGTTCGACTATTTTGATTTTCAAGGCATGGAGTTCTCTTTCAAAGTTCGACTATAAAAAAGATGGATTTATACAATACTTTATTTGAGAAGCGTCCTAAAAACTTGTTAAAACACCAAAAGCCTCCTACAAACCTATTAGAACACTTTATTTAAGACACTTTATAGTTAGGTCCTATAAATTTAAGTTTTATGAAGTATTCTATTAAAACGTTTAGACATTTTAAGCATCATTAAAACCAATAAAATATTTACAAATATTTTTATTTTAATTCATTGATATATTTTTTTTTAACAAAATTACAACTTGAAAACAAAAACATGAAAAACAAATTACAAACACTCCAATTCCCGAGCTTTTGGATGGCAAACCATTCTTCAAGTTGTTACTGCAATGGTTAACCTTTTCATTAAATCCTTATTTTTACCGTTGGAGATGCTCTTATAGTTCTGAATTTGTAAGTCGACGTTCAGAAGAAACGTCGTCGGTTTTTAATTTGGCAGAAAGAGTACCCACGGGCTTTTTATAGGTATACCAATTCGAAATCCACAGAAAAGCCCCGAGATTAAGCAGGCTCATAATGGCCAAAAGCCAAAAGAAGTTCTGTAAATGACCACGGTTCAGATTGTCGGGTATCCACCCGAGCTTACCACCCTTGGTACTAATACTTGTTACAATCGTCACAAGCAAAGAGCTCAGGTAGCTTCCGAGTGCGACTGTCGTTAGTGATAAAGCCGAACACAAACTCCTCATCGAGTCGGGGGCTTGGTGGTAAAAGAACTCTAGTTGTCCGATAAAAGTAAAAACCTCGGCACAACCGATCAAGAAGTATTGCGGGACCTGCCAAAATATCGACATGGGCATATTCTTGTAATCGTAATAGTTGTTTCTTTTGACGATCCCAAGTCTGACCACTTCTAGGGTCCCTGCGGCTAGCATCGCAAAAATCGAGATCACCAGGCCTGTCCCCATTCTTTGGAGTTGGGTCAGGCCTGATTTGTGGCCCGTGTATTTCCGGGCAACAGGTACGATGATCTGGTCATAGACCGGGACCCAGAAAATGACACTTAGCGTGTCAAAAATGCTTAGGGCCGCTGGAGGAATTTCGAATTTGTTGAGGTATATGTCCATGAACGAGCCTTGTAACACAAATAGGTTGCTCATCTGACCGTAAACCGTGGCGAAAATGATACCGGTGGCCCAGATCGGGAGCAATTTAACGATTGATTTCAATTCCTCGACTTGAGTCACCGTGCAAAGCTGCCACGGATTGGCCGGTTCGTTAGTCCGATCCGATTCCAACTCCACCGCCGCCTTGTCAAAGAAACTGTAAATCGAAAAAAAATCACTTTTGAACTGCGATGATCTATTTATTTATTTCGTTTTCATTTGTCGGTCCCATGAAAGCTTACCTGAACGATTTGGTGTGGTCAAGCTTGCGGCTTCCTACTATAGCGGACTCGTTGTCTGCTGTCTCATACAGAGTAGACTTGTCGTTAGGAACCTGAACTCGACGTTTCCTCCAAGAAGCCGCAATGACCTGAGCGATGCGGGTCAATGGGCTTCCGCTGGGTTTCTGATTCCGATACAAACGTGTGCCGAAAAAAAACGAGCCAATGGCAATCGCCATGGCCACAGCCGGGATCCCAAATCCCCATCCCCAACCCACATTATCTTGGATCCAAACAAGAACCGAGGACGCGATTAACGCACCAATATTGATCGAAAAATAGAACCAATTAAAAAACGAACTCTTGTGCTTCTTCTCTCGTTCATCGGCGTCATCAAACTGGTCCGCCCCATATGATGACACACATGGTTTGATCCCTCCGGTTCCTAGAGCCACGAGATAGAGCGCTAGAAAAGTAACCGCGGTTTGAGTACTTGTCGCATGACAATCCTCCTTCGATACACAAGTTGGCCTTAAACCCGAAACCGATGCTGATAAAGTTAATAACGTCATTCCCTACATGACGTAACACCAAAACCATCAATCGGTCCAGTAAAACATAGAGGTCTTACGTTCGATTTGTTATCCACTTCAAGTGAGGTTTCATGCGTTTTCCGTTCACTACAACGAAATCATCTTTTATGCGACATCTAATATGTGTAAATGTCCCAATAGACTACTTTCCAGAACTCCAGTTTACAAGTCAATCAATCGTTTGGCTCATATACATGTGTTACAATAAACTGATAGGACGCTTTTAGGCACCGATGAAGAATTGTGTGAGAAAAAGAGTCAATGTGAGAAGCGTAAGAAGAGATCTGAATCCTCGATCCATTTTAATCTCAAATCCACCCATGAATTGCACTTTAGAAGGGAATTGATCCGGTGCATCTCGGTGTTCCACATTAATGTTGACATTTAATTAAGATTGATCCAAGGGTGAAGATCTATTTTAACGCTTCTCACCATGACTTCTCTTTTCACCGAAACCCAACCCTTTGGGCGCGTAACATGTTTTTTAGATAATTTTGAAATAAAGCGTTCTATTAGTTCTTTTATATGACATTATTTGGAAAAAATGTCTTATAATATAAATGTGTTCTTATAATTTTTTTTTTCCCGATTAACATGGATATCCAACCTGCTATGCGAGCCGACTAATTCCAAGGCGACCACTCACGAAGTCGCTGCATTTGAACCTTGGAGGCCACAAGGGGATTTTTATTCCTACTTGGATCTGACCCTGGGGCCTCCAGACACTTTTGACCTTTGAAGTCCAAGCTCAAATCAATCAGGTACCACCCTTGTGGTTAAAGAATAATTCTTAAAAGTGTTGTATAAAAGACTTGTTAGGATGTCTAATTAACATCCCATTGTTTACATTTTTATAAAAAATAGAACATACATAAAGTTAGAGACTTATAAAGCCGATTTTGTTGTAATGATTTATGGGAAACGAACTCTTAAAATAAAAAGCGGACTTACGATAACATAGATGACGGAAAAGATGGCAATGGTCCAATATCGTCCTAGATAGGCATCGGCCACGAACGCACCTATCAACGGCGTTATATAACACGTTCCAGACCAATTTGAGTAGTTTTTCGAGGCCGTAACGCTATGTTGATCAAGGTTATTCTTGAAATAAAGCAACAGATTCGTGCTCATCCCGTAATACGCTAATCTTTCACAACATTCGTTTCCTGCATCCCGAAACACGAACACAAGTTTTACGATATGCGACAGTATAACATCACGAAGAATAATCGACCTTAAAAGGTACAAGTTTTAAAGCAGAAGTTACAAGTGTATGTATACCAAGAATATAAGGGCAAGCTTTCCAAGTGCCTGTGGTTTTCTTGTTAGCAGGATTGCCCTTGTAATCAACTGTACCATCTTTAGTGTACACGTCATCATCTTCTTCAGTGTCAAGTTTGTTGTAAACCTCAACTGGTTCTGCCATTCTTGTTCAGTGTTTAATTACCCTTTTACCCTTTTGAAATCAATCATAACCTGGAGAATTTGACCTCTGGGATTACTGGGAAAAAAACCTTAAGAAAGATTGTAAAGAAATTAAGCATATAACTGAACCAGACAGATCCATGCATTGACACAACCAAGGGGAAAAAAAGCTATTTGTGAACTTAATTAATCAGACGACGGAGATATTATGTTGGATGGTTGACGTTTTTTCTGTGGGTTTTAATGTAATAAATAATAAATGTATATGTTTTTATATGATTAAAAGGAATCTTATTATTATAATAATTTAATTTAATTCTGTAAGGTTATTTAGGATCTCTGAATCTTATTATTATAATAATTTAATTTTGTAAGGGATTGTTTATTTGAAATAAGTTGTGTTTTTTTTTTTATAAAGACACTTATTAACTTATTATAAGTCAGAAGAGTTTAACTTCTTTAAAAAAAAAAATTACCGGTTTGGCATCGATATAAGTTGTTTATCCAAACACTCAAAAGTGCTTATTATCGRTRYCACATCGGAATAAGTCAATAAGTTATTTTGTTAAGCAATCGCAAACACCCCCTTAAAGAGTTTATCAACTCGTATTAGTAATAAGAAATAAGAAATATTTATATTGGTTTTGACACTGATAATAAGAAGTTTTTGATAAGTTACTCTTCTAACTTATTAACTTATTCTAATGTAGTACCGGTAACAAAGAGTTTAGTCGGCACATGAAGGCTTTTATTTGGACATTTTGATCCTTTTAAGAGATGTAGATGTTAAACCACCTTAATTAGCATTTTATGCAAAAACGAACAACTGTAATAAAAAAACACGTTAAATACAACCATTGGTTTTTTTTATGATTTATCAAAAATCGTTCATTCTTTAGCCTACATTCATTTAAAAATTCAATAGCTGTTTAAATCTTGTACTGTTGTCGATGTTTACATAGTATTGATATACTTTGTAATGCTACAAAGAGAAAAGTCCAAGGCATGGCCGACCTGGAAACTGTGCAAGACAAAGTTCGATAACGAGATATAATCCACGTTATTTTCCATAAACCATTGGTATTAACGTCTTATATTTATTCAACGGCAATATCAGATCACCTATTATATTATAAAATAACAGATTTTGAGTTAGATATTTTTAAAGGCGTTATGGATCCCCTAAAATCGAATAAAACAGCTAAATTAAAGGAATTTCGTCATGTTAAACTTCCTAATAATAGTTGGTCGCACAATATGGAAATTTTGAATCGAGTAAATTGGTTTGGTTTGCGGTTTGTAATTCCAAACCAACATTTTGATCAAATCAAATGTATATATGAAAATTTTAATATCAACAGTTTAATCGGTGAGGGGTATCGTTTTTTCTCTTATATGGACAACGGTTTAAACATTGAAGTATTACAAACAAACAGGTAGTAGTCCATCTTTTCAATTCTCGAGTTTATAACGTTTTTTTATAGCAGTATAGAGTTCGAGATGGTATAAAATAAATAAAGATAAAAATTACCTGATCTGATTTTATGAAATGACCAAAATAACCCTCACAAGATCAGCGATATCAATGGATTTTGGGAGTTCTTGATCGATGAGGTGAAATTGATTCCTTCCCTTTCTATTTATAGTTGTAAATGAATAAAATAGCTCAAGAATTAAATATAAAATAAAGCATAATATAAATATATTAATAAGCCAAGAAGAGATGCTTATGGGTCGTTTACCAAACACTTATCCAGGTAAGCGCTTGTTTAGTCACATTACCTTGCCGGATGAATATGACAAGGACCAAAAATCTTACCCGGTAAGAACGAAGGCAAGGACCGATAGTCTTACCTGATAAGTGAAGAAGACTACTCTTACCATGGTTAGCACTTACCGAGTAAATTATTGCATATGATGTCGTATTAATGGACTATAATCTTACCAGGTAAGTACGTGATAATATTAAATTTTACCGGTAAGCGCTTATCGGGTAAGTGTTTGGTAAACGGACCCTTAAAGAATTCATAAGAAAACACATAAATCTATTAAGACATTGCCTTCATTTACTTAAGCATGTAAACACACATGCTTTTTATTTAAGATTTAATTAAGACATTTGACGTACGAAATATGAACGTATTATAAAAAGTATAAACGGAAGAAGAAAATATCAAGTTATAATTAAGGACGTCTTAGATTTCAAGATGACAGACAAGCTGTGGAATAAGACCCGTTGTCTTATTGGTATGCATACTTATTTTAAATATTATTAAGCGGTACGATCTTATTATATATATTATCTTTTACTTAAATATTCAAAGCTTCTTTTTCAACGTAACTTGTAAATGTTGCAATGTACTAAATTTCAAGTTCTTTAACGAGAAAGTAAACACAAATATGAGTTCGATGTTGAACTATTCAATTTTTAATTTAGGGGTTGTTTATCAAACACTTACCTGATAAGTGCTTAAAATTTAACACTATTGTTTACTTGGCGGGTAAGATTTGAGTCCATCAAAACGACATCGTATGCAACAAGTTACCCGGTAAGAGCTTTTGGTGGTAAGATTCGTCGCCCTCACTTACCGGGTAAGACTCTTGGTCCTTGTCTCGCTCTTACTGGGTAAGATTCTTGGTCCTTACCATATTCATCCAGTAAGGTAATGTTACTTGGTAAGCGTTTACCCAGATAAGCGTTTGGTAAACGGCCCCTTATTTAAAAAATTTCGCAAATTTCAAGTTAACATAAAGTATTTACCGATAAAGGGATGATACTATCTGACCTCATATAAGAAAATTGGAGGATAGATCATAGCCGTCCATCGCTTCAATTAAGAGATGGATACCAAATGTGATAATTTAGTAATTTTAGGGAAATAGATGCCATTTTTCTAATAGTTAAAAGGATGCTGACAAATAAAAATGTGATAACCGAGTTGTTATTAAAAGTTTGAGGGTTGTTTTGGTAAGTGAGATAAGTCAAGGGGTTGTTTTTGAAAAATGGTTTAAAATATCTCATTTAGGTCTTAAGTCTAAAATTTATATAAGAGTATATTTTAAACTCTTTTTTTCTTCTTCCTATTTTTTTTTTTGGAAAAACGATGAGAAAAAAGTTGGTGAGACCTCTTTGTTGTTACTGGTTCGAAGAAACAAAAGAAATATCTAATTTCGTGTGTCTACCTGGAATTCGTTGTTGTCTTAAAAACTTAGATCTCTTTGTGATTATAAGGTGAGTTTTAATTTAAAAGGCATTATTTGATTTGCTTTTGGTAAAGTAATCGTATGGTTTCCTGTTTCCATACATGGGTGTTTTGAAATTGATTATGTGGTATTTTTAGTATAATATTGGGACTTGATACGTTATTATCAATTGATTGGAATAAGGGTGACATAATCAGGAGAGGTGTATTTTGGGATAAGGGTGACATAATAAAGAGAGACAAATACTATATAAGGGTGACATAGTCAACTGTATATTAAAAATGGGTTTTTGATCATGTGAAGTACTGTTATCGCATCTTCATAATGCGATGAGTTTGGTTTATCGCATTCTTATGATGCGATGAGATGGTTTATCGCATTCTTATGATGCGATGAGATGCTTTATCACATCTTTGTGATGCGAGAAAGAGGATTATCACATCCTTGTGATGCGAAAAATGTATTTATCACACTAGTGTGATGCGAGGAATGGTATTTATCGCATCAATGTGATGCGTGGAAAAGATGTTATCGTATCAATGAGATGCGACAAGTGAGGGTTATCGCATGTGTATGATGCAACAAAAGGTATTATCATGTCTATAAGATGTGACAAGTTGGTATTTTATGTATTGATGCGACAAGTTTGATACCTCAATGAGTTTGATGCGATAAGATGTTGTTTTATCTATATGATGCGACAAGGAGGTTCGTTTCAATAAAGGATTGTTTATTTGTTATTAATACAAATATGGGCTTTCTAAAAGTGATTTGGTGATTTTCACCCTGTAATTGCAATAAAGAGGATTACTCACTATACCTTGTGGTCTAATTCTCATTGTGTGTTTAAAAATGTGCATTACAGGCCAGTCACAAATCGAAGGTAAAGGGAAGGAAAATATGTGAACGAGATTATGTTTGCTTTACATCTGTGGATTTTTGCGAAGTTGGCTATGCACATGTATCTGAGAAATTGTTATATGCAAATCATGTACTTGGTGTGAACGATAAATTTTTAACTACTTTTTATATGTAGCAATTTGTACATATTGGTCCAGTGTATAATTATTGTATTTCATGTTATATGACATATGTGGTTTATATGCAAATGTGGAATTTGGTGTGTGACAAGTTTGGTATCAGAGCCCGAGTTTAAGAGATTTAGGTATTCAGCAAGATGGCTAGACTTAAACAATATTATTTGCATATTAAGGGTTCTTGACAATAATAAAACCTTTGGAATAAATATAATGAGTTAAAAGAAAAATATGTAAGGTAAATTCAAATTACAACTGACCAATTATAATTCTAGGTTTACATGTACATATTTGTGCTTGGATACTGGTGTGGAGAAAACTATAACATCAAAAGGCTATAATAACAAATAAATCATGCAAGTATACATGGCTTACAAGTGTTGTCCAAAGCAAATAATAATGGTAAGTAATATCAAATATCGTTCCACAGAGATTTAATATGTAAAGAGAGTCACAAAAGTTAACTTTAAAGTGATATTTCAGAAGAGGGTTTTTGGAAGCAATAAAGCTTCAGAGAGAAAATATTTTTGCGAGAGTTGGTGACTAAATACTGAAATATAACAATAACTAAAAGATAGTATGGATGAAGATCATGTTGGATTTCAACAACGAAGTGTAATGAATATTGTTCTATAAATAGCTCTTTACAACACTACTGGATTGAACGGCCTTCCAAGAAAGTGCAAATTAGACCATATGTTGGAAGTGTACTTGGTGATGCATCAATCTCAAACTAGTACAGATCTTGCCTTTCTTTCCTTATAGTTTTGCAACCCAAAAGATTACGGTGACTCCTTATAGCCTCTATAGCAAACTTAGTAAAAATATTTGCATTGTCTTAATTTTAA